TAACCATCTCCATGGGGTCTCAGTTCTGACTTCACTTGCAGTCAATTACTGGGAAGAGTTTTCCTCTATTTTATGTCAACAGCATTTATGATGACATCTTTAGAGTGCACATTTTTGGGGAGAGCACACCAAACCCTCAAAGCTGGGATCGTGCTGTATATAGAAGAAGTGCCTGCACTGAGCAGGTTTCCATCTGGTTTATATTTTGATCGACAGCTTTACTGCATTTTTAGGGAGCTTTAATTTTATGTTCCACTTTGGCTACTTCCAAACTATAAAGCTTTCACAAACCAATTTGAGGAAGAGATGCTGCAGGGGATGTGAGTTCCCACCGCAGCACGTAATGTGACTGAACCAAAACCCTGCATCATTTATCTGATGGAAACAGAAACTACCAGAAATTACCAGCCTTTATGTTTAAGATGAAATGTATTTTCTCTCAATGCTCCACTTCTTTGGAAATGCAGTTGCTGTAAAACCTTGGTTAGGGAAGAAACCCCGAAAGCTGCATTCTGGATGAAACAAAAGGAACTAAAGTGCTGTAACTCCTTGCATGTCATAGACTCACAGAATGGTTTGCATTGGAAGGGACCTTAAAGCTCCTCCAGCTCCAACCCCTGCCACAGGCAAGGACCCCTTCCACTGGAGCAGCTTGCTCCAAGCCCCTGTGTCCAACCTGGCCTTGAGCACTGCCAGGGATGGGGCAGCCACAGCTTCTCTGGGCACCCTGTGCCAGCGCCTCAGCACCCTCACAGGGAAGAGCTTCTGCCTAAGAGCTCAGCTCAGTCTCCCCTCGGGCAGGTTCAAGCCATTCCCCTTGGCCTGTCCCTACAGGCCCTTGTCCCAAGCCCCTCTCCAGGTTTCCTGCAGCCCCTTTAGGCACTGGAGCTGCTCTCAGGTCTCCCCTTCAGGAGCCTTCTCTTCTCCAGGCTGCCCCAGCCCAGCTCTCTCAGCCTGGCTCCAGAGCAGAGCTGCTCCAGCCCTCGCAGCATCTCCATGGCCTCCTCTGCACTCGCTCCAACAGCTCCACGTCCTCTTGTGCTGCTGCCCCAGAGCTGGATCAGGGCTGCAGGGGGGGTCTCCCCAGAGCGCAGCAGAGGGGCAGGATCCCCTCCCTGACCTCCTGGCAGGAAGGTGTTGCTCAGAAGTGATGTGTCTGTTTTGAAAAGATGAATGGTCCTGGGGGCCACTTTGGTTTTGCATTGCAGAGGAGACATTCATGCTATATTGAGAGCATTGCTCCAGAAACTGCAGCTCCCTGCTGCCAAATGACTTTCAGTGACACCATTTTTGGAAGACATAAAGTGCTTGTGCCATCTCCTGCCTGTATTTACCCAGATCTCTGCAGATCGAGTTCAACTTGAGAGTAAGACAATGTAAAGAAGCTCATCCTTCACATTCAGCACCTCTTAAACACCCATAGCACAGGTGTGGGGTGTGCACCAGCTGCAGAGCTGGGGAAAGAACAGCCCAGAACAGTCAAGTTGACAATTAAACAGAGTCATCTGCATTGGCAAGAGATTTCAGTGAGCCTGTCCCTAGTGAATACATACCTGTAATTATGCTGCTATTTTCTGCAGTCCAATGCTTGCCTTATCCTAGACTTGTATTCCTCTGAGGTGTTTGCCATATCCATCTTGCAGAAGAGTCCACAGGAGCTCCAGGTTGGGGTTTGGAGCTGGTAATTTCCTGGCACACCAATTTACCTGCAGGTTTCAAGTTATTTTACAGCAGCTACAGCTTATTATTTGGTGAATAGAATTCCCAAATTCAAGCTGAAATAGATTATCTTCAAATTGTGGTTGAAGAGCTGATTATTTTGAATGGGAATATGCTTTATGATTGCATTTCTTAAAGAAATAAGAACACTGGTATTTAATGTAAGGATTGGCAAGGCTGTGTTCCTGGAGCCCTTGGGTCAGTCCTTGAGCAGCCTATTGAAGAGAAGGGAGGAAATTAGAATCACAAATCAGTATTTCATCATAATGAATCAGTGTGGCCAGAAAGGGAGGACGAAGAGCTCCTGTGAGGCAGAGGAGCTGGTTTGGTGCACAAGCAATCGCATCCTTTGCAAATCAATAGATGGCTCTGTACTGTGCAGTGCAGCCCCTGGTGAAAGGTCAGTACTCCTCTGCAAAACAGCAAAAGAAATACTGGGGGAGCACTGGAGACGTTTGTTTCTGAGTTGTTTTCATGCTTTTTGAGCAGGTAGGGAGATGGTGTGTTATCCTGATTATTCATCAAATCCCAGCCTGGTTTATGTTGGAAGGGACCTGAAAGATTATCCGCTTCCAACTCCTGCCCCAATTCCAACTCTCCAGCTTTCCTGCAGCCCCTTTAGGCACTGGAGCTGCTCTCAGGTCTCCCCTTCAGGAGCCTTCTCTTCTCCAGGCTGCCCCAGCCCAGCTCTCTCAGCCTGGCTCCAGAGCAGAGCTGCTCCAGCCCTCGCAGCATCTCCATGGCCTCCTCTGCACTCGCTCCACTATTCCACTTTTAACAACTTGGAGGAAGACAAAATATTCTTCTAAATATAGGTAGTGTTTGATTTATTTATTTATCTGGGATGCAACCCCCGATATCCCCTTGCAGTTGTTGAGGGTCTTTAACCTGGAAAGAGGCAGGATCCAATGTGTGTATTCTTCCCAAATGTGCTGCACTTCTGCTTTATCTCAAGATATCCACAGTATCAGCTGGGTTTTTTCCAGGCTGCTCTATCTGTGCCTTTTGAGGCCAGAGAACATTCCTGAGCCTTCACAGCAACCTGCTGTTGATGGAGGGGATGGAGGTAACGAAGTGCTGAAGGGCCTGGAGTGTTTCAAGGCAGCACGATAAGGGGCCGGCTGCGCAGTAGCTGCATTCTGTAACTCCTGTGAAAGATGTCGATTAAAAAAGGTTACATGGTGCTTTTCCAGCAAGAAATGGGTTTGGAAAGCAATATTTGATGTTTTTCTTAATGGAAAACTTCATTGAAGGAACACTGGCACTTGCACTGCCAGGCTGGGTCAGTGGGACTGGGACTCATCATTAGGAAGGCTTGCAAAGCCATTTTAGCCTCTCATTAATAAACATACTAAATATGTAAATGTGGCACCCAGTGGATAAGGACCAAAATGAACAACTTGATGATCTTTTGAAGTGTGTAGGAGTGGAGGCAGGGCACTCAGCAGTGCTTGGACCCAGGAGTGAGGTGCAAGCGGGTTCTGATCATAGCCCTGAGAGCTATATTCGTTTCTGTCATGTTGATACTGCAATTGCTACTCTTGCACTTGGGTCTGTAGTGGGGGATAATTATTCAACTGTCTGAGAAGCTAGAGGAGAAAAACCCAAGAGAATGACTTATTATCCTTCCCACCCAGCCACCGTTTGATTACTGCCATGTTCCCTGCAATTATCCACATCAAGTTCAGGATGCTCGAGGAAGGGAAAGGTTGGAAACGTGATGGGAGATGCCATACAAATGGGAGAAGGGAGGGAAAATGCAAGATCTCAGTGTGGTAGGGCAGAAAAGAAGGAACAGTGCATGGAAAGGCCTGTTACCAAATTAGCAGTGAATTGATTTTGTCTTTTTCACCGAGAAGAATAGATTTGAAGGCCAATGTGGTGGACTTGCTATTGGAGAGGGTGTTTTTTCCCAGGCATGGGGTTGGAAGACACAGCTATTTTAAACCTCATGACATTTAATGTACCAGGCTGAGAGCTGGGGAAAAGCTCAAAGGGCAGAACCATGTGGAGCAAGAGGAGCACATTAAACAGGAATTTGAGTCACGTGAAATCATGAGAGTTTTCAACTTACTGGGTGCAGGTGGGAGGAGATGCCCATGGGGTGATGGGTGTGAGGTTTTGAAGGGTGACAGTGGTTTGTTGCTTCCCAAGCCCACAGTGTTGGCATGTCCATTGGGAATGGCCCTTAGGTTTGGGCTAAGCTGATTATGTGGAACCTGTTGTACCAGTATGATCTGTAGCCTGCATTGAAGATATACATGTGTCTGTATGCTTATCTCCATCCATGTGTGTTTGTGGGACCTTTTCATAGATGAGATGCATTTTTCTGTGGTCTGTGCTGATTTGAAAGCAAAATTAGTTGCCACCACATGTGAAACTGGCTCCTTTCAAACCAAAGTGACCAAAGTGGAGATGCAGCAAATGAAATGAGAGTCACAAACTGGTCCATAGAATCCCAGCCTGCTTTGGGTTGGAAGGGACCTTAAAGCTCATCCAGCTCCAACCCCTGCCACAGGCAGGGACACCTTCCACTGGAGCAGCTTGCTCCAAGCCCTGTCCAACCTGTCCTTGGGATTTGAGATCTTAACTGCTATGCCAGTTACTCCCCTTTCCAGTTCAGTCTTAGCTGCAAGGCAGGGTGATCCGGTGGGATCAGTTTATGGAGAGGCTCCTCGAGCCATGGTTTTGATCCCCCTCTCCGTGCCTGTCGGTGCTGGGCTCCGGTGCTGTCCCCTCCTGCTGCTTTGGGAACCTCCTCTCTGGGGGTGGGGAACATTCTGCATCACTTATGACTGATGAAATGTAAACCCCACTTCTACGTCACCTATAGGAAGCCCATTTATACATGTTTGCTTATTTGATTTCAGCCCATGATCAAATCCCTTCCTGTTGGTTGTCAAGGTGAAATGTCTGGAGACTTCACCGGGAGGGAGGAATAAATCCAGTAAACGGAAAATCTGCTTGCACACACTGCGCATTTCTTGACATTGAACTTCTGCTTCCCAAGCAGAGGGAAGCGCAGCTCACATTCCAGCATCATTCCCTAACCCCCATCCTTACCCCTGCGTTCGGGTGCGCAGCGGTGCTGCCCGGGCAGGGATGTGTCAGCAGATTCCCTCTCGGCATTCCCAAGCCATCGCAGCGCTGCTGCTGGAAGCTCCTTTCTTTCACCATCCCTTTGTCCTTACATCGCCTCCCTGTGCTCCGGAGCGCCGGCGGCAGCGGGTGCGTGGCGGGGGGCCGGCGGCCAAGCCCCGGGCTGTGCTCCTGCGGAAGAGCCCGTATTCCCGGAGCCGCTCCGCGTTCCCACCACCCACCCCCTGACGTCTGGATGCACCAGGGAGCTGTGCCGGGTTTGATGGTTAGCGGCGGGATTTAGATGTAAATCTTGTAAAATTCCATTTTATGCAGACACACAAATCGGCTCCGGCTCAAAGGCTCTGGGGGAGCTGCAGCTGCGGAGGTACCTGCTCCGAGGATCTTCCTGCAGGCAGAGCACCTCTCCAGCCGGGCACAGGGAGGGCTGGATGGGCAGATAGGGATCCCATCCAGAAACACAGCCCCGTCCCTGTGCGGCGGGAGTGACGCAGAGCACAGCCCTGCTCCTGCAGTGACCCCTTGCAGGGAGCTTGCAACCCGCTGAGAGCATCGCTGTTTCTTCTGCTTTGGTGGGATGGATGAGCCAGGCCTTTTGCCACGGGGACGGGCTCCCTCCTGCCTGTAACGTGGACAGGGAGCTGGGTCCCTGTTTTCACCCCGGGAATACCATCTCTCACATCCACGGAGCGCAGGAGGGAAGCGAGAGCGGAGTTTCTGCAGCGTCAGAAAACTTTGATTCATCTGCGAAGGTGGTGAATGAAGGAGGGATGTGACCTGGAAAGGATCAACAGGAAAATGGGGATGTTTCTCCAGCTTGGAAAAGGCTTGCTTTTCCCCCCCTCGCCGTCTCAGGATCACTGGAAGGGATTATACAAATGAGAGCAGGAAACTGCAGTCAGGGCTTTGCCAGAAATAGATGATTTTGTCTTTTTCTTCTTGATGGCAGTGAAGAAATATGGGAGTCCGTAGAGGCTGCTCCACAGGCACCCTCACGTTCTGATTGCCAGGTCATTTGCGCTCGTTCCTAAAGTGCCATCCACCCTGCGATGGGAATTGACATGTAACCACAAAGAATAAACTCCTGGGAACAGCTCCGTGCCACTGGTGGAACTTCGGAAGGAAGTTTGGGATCGGTGGGAAATGTGCTGACTCCTTTCGGGCGAGCGGAAGAGGAGCAGCATCGTGGAAGATGTTGAATGTGAATTTTTTACCTAACCGCCGTCACTCGTGGATTTGGTGAGTATTGTTTGGGTTTGGCCCCATTAGAGTAGTCATGGTGGGCAAAAGAGCTGGGAAATGTGTGATTTTACCTCTGCAAATAGCCATGTTAAAGGGAAACGCGGGTAAGGATGCGCGCGTTCCCCCAGCTGCAGAATCTCGGGGTGTTTGCGGGATGTTCTCCGTTTCTCTGTCTTTCCTGGTGGGGTTTGGGTCTTACGATGCACCCTCACAACTGGGGTGTGGAAAAAGGGTGGGAAATCTTGTCTTGCACTTCATTATTTTCACTACAAGGTGTGTATGGGCATACATTTTCCTTTGACGAAGTAATGAGTCACTGAAGCATCTTCTCACTTGGGTGGTTTCATGGTGTTACCTCGGCACCTTCCCCAGCCTCTTGGCAACTCCACTTGCATTCTAAGAAGCAGCCAGAGCTGCTGCTGCTGTTGCCTCTGCTCGGAGCCGTGGTGTTGGGACAGGGGGGATGTGAAGGGAACTCCAGAGGCACATCCCACAGCGGGAACTGCACGTTTGGGTCTGAGACTGCACTGAAACGGGCTTCCCTTTCCTAGGAGGTCAGGTATGAACTCACTGGATAGTGTGATATACATGAGTTGTAATCTGTAATCTTTGTGTGGCTTTGTAATCTACAGTCTGTGATTATAGATAATCTATGTAGTCTATACAGCATCTTGTGAGAATATTCAATATAGAGAGAATTTTCTATTCTAGATAGTCAAGAATATTCCGTATAGTTACATATTCTTACATAGAATTTATTCTGTGTAATCTTATTATTGCTTATGGTGATTTAATTGTAGCTTCCTCTGCATTAGGCTCTGAGATGAACCTATAGCTTAGGGGTTTCTAGGTATGAAATTGTAGATCTTAGTAAAAATGTCAAGGTTCTGAGTTTCTGAATGGTGCTGTAAGGACAGAGAGGTAGTTGTTCTTCTCCAGATCTAGTCTGGTCCTTGAGAAGAGCTGTGTGTTGTGGTGCAGGGCAGGAGAATAGAAAGGTAAATATTAGAGGAGAAGAGAAATGCATCAGTGTGTTATTGGCAGACCTCTGGCTGAAGCACCTGGTAAGAAAGGAAGGAACAGAGTCCATAGAGACACTGAGGCAGCAAGAAGGGAAAGGGAAGAGAGTCCCACTGGGGAAGTTCTCCGTGTGAGGTGCTGGGTGTCCTCCCTTCCCAAGGGCTGGTTCATGTTGTTCTTAGTTAGAAACCCAATGGTGTCTGTCATTACAGTGCATAAACGTCAGGGCTGTGTCTTCCACGCTGAGATGAGGATTGCTCTGTCCCTGCTGCGCTGTGGGTTGGGGTGGGCATTGAGGTCGTTCTCCTCCTGCTGCTGGTTGTGCCAGCCCGGGGGAGCCACAGTGGTGGCTCGGTGCTGCCCAGCACCCTCTGTCCTTCTGCAGGACATGCTTGACATGTGGCACCTCGCTGGTTGGCGTGGCTGTTGTGTGCTCAGGAGGGCAATGGGTGTTGGCAGCATGGGTTCCTACCCAGCCAGAGTGGTCCACTCAGGTGGGTGTGCTCATTTGCCTGTTAGGGTGCTGAGGCACTGGAATGGGTTGCCCAGGGAGGCTGTGAATGCTCCATCCCTGGCAGTGTTCAAGGCCAGGTTGGACAGAGCTTTGGTGATATGATTTAGAGCGAGGTGTCCCTGCCCATGGCAGGGGGGTTGGAAGTGGATGATTTTAAGGTCCTTTCCAACCCTAACTATTCTATGATTCTGTGACCTGACCATGCGACTCTTGCATTCTCTCTGAAGCAGATGTAATGCTGCAGAGAAGCAAGGACCAATGTCATCCAGGTGTCAGATGTCCAGTTGCTGTGCAACACGTTGTCGTGTCAGATAAGCACGTTACCAGTATTTGCATCTTGGTACCAGAGTAGTTCAGTTTCTCCATACACAGATTTATGGTAGGGGAGATTGAGATGAGCTTTTAGGCAGATTTAAAAGGAGAGGATAGGGGTTATCCTATAAAAAATCACTACCTGTGCAGAGGTGGAACTAAAGCATGTCCTTCACCCCATGTTGGTCTAGTTACAGGCTGAGTCTGGCTAATCATGTTTATAACTGCCTGGTTCCTTGTTCAGGGCCTGTGTTGTGGCTAAGATCCACTGCACTGTACCCTCAGGCACTTTGTTCCTGTGCAGTAAATTCTTGGTCCTCTTCTGAGCCCTTTCCTCTTTCCAGCACACACGAGCAAGCTCTTTAAAACTTTGGTGGAAGCATGAGTGTTCCCTAACCTGAACCACCCAAAGTGTGTTCATGAAATGAAAGATACCAGCTTTTCCCATTTCCAGCTCTTCAAGGCACTTGATTCAAGCTGAGATGTTTGCTGATGGATGAGGCTGGGACTATTTCCATCATGTGGTACCGTACGTACTGATTGATTTATAACTGGAGTTTGAAGTCCTCAGGTTTTGCTCTGGGAGTTAACACTTGCCAATATCACAGGTATAAATCAGCTCTTCCTTCACATTGTCTTCTTTTAGTTGGGCTTAGCTGTGACTTGAGATATACTTAGAACAATTTGGTTGTCTTCATGTATTAATTCAGTGGCCTTCTATGAATAGGCAGTATCTCAACAAAGAAATGATTTGTATGCAGAGGGTAGGTTTGAGAGACAGAACTCAGAGATCTGTAGGCACAGTTTAGAAAGAGGAGGCCAAATATTTCTCTTGTGCTCACAAATGGCTGTAGGAAGCATAAAGAATCTGTTGTTGAGATGTGTCTGCAGCAGAGTCAATGCCTGGCTGCAACTGGGGCTTTAACAATCAAATCATGGGCATTTAATTGGGTCTGAGGAACACAGTGTTTGCTTTCGCTGTGTGAGGAGCTGGTTATGGAGGGATCCTGGTGGAGGAATGGTGCTTGGTATTTAGTGACCTTTCCCTTCTCTTCATGCTCTACCCTTTCAAGTTGTGTCTGGCTGTATTTTCATGCTGGTCTTGCGAGGTAGAAGATGAGAGTTTGAACATTAGAGGCTGCTCTGGTCGTATGTACATGATCTCATATTTACATTCATTAGCTTCATTTCCTGTGAAATAATCTATGTAACTTTATTTGGGAGGGAAACTCCTTTTAGCTAAGTCCATGTGTATCTGTGTTCTTCCCTGTGAGGGTGCTGAGGCGCTGGCACAGGGTGCCCAGAGAAGCTGTGGCTGCCCCATCCCTGGCAGTGCTCAAGGCCAGGTTGGACACAGGGGCTTGGAGCAAGCTGCTCCAGTGGAAGGGGTCCCTGCCTGTGGCAGGGGCTGGAGCTGGAGGAGCTTTAAGGTCCCTTCCAACCCAAACCATGTGTGGTGCTAGAATCCTGTCCCTACAGGCCCTTGTCCAAAGCCCCTCTCCAGGTTTCTGGAGGCCCCTTTAGGCACTGGAGGCTTAGGTGATGCTGCCTGACTCTGCAGACAGCTGCTGTGCAGAGCACTCCTGTGCTGTGCCAGGTTTAATATCCTGGATGAGAAGGGCTGGATAAACCAGGGCAACTCCTTGATAAACCCAAAGCACTATGAAATGGGCACATGCGGCTTCCCAGTGCACAGTGGGAACTCATCAGCTCAGTGTCGTGGGTCGATTTCTCACAGAGAAAATTGATTCATGTTTTAACAGCCAGACTGGTAGAATTAACACGTTTTCATATGCTTTCCTTAAAAGATAAAAGCTAAGGAAGCTAAACTGCAAGGAAAGGCTTGTGGCCGTTTTATTTTCTAGGATTTATAGGGAGAGCTACATCAAAAAGCAAACAGAACCATACAAATAACAGGGTGAAGGGGGAATATAGCCTCTAAAATGATTGTTAAATCCCTTTATAAGCCAAGCAAAGATTTGGTGACTTGAGCTTTGGTTGCTGGAATTTTGTATTTTCTCCCCCCAAAATGCAACATCCAGAATTCGGTCATGAGTTTCAGGTGTTATTTCCTTTGCCACCTGCATTTCCTAACACCACATCCTTTGTTAGTTGCACTGAACAAAAATACATGTGTGTATTCTGCAGGTGGCGGGGAGCTTTTGCTGCGGGCAGGGTGAAGCAGCCCTGCTGTGCTGCAGTGTGATGGATGGTGTCTGTCTGAGAGCAGCAGCAGAGCCGGGCAGGCTGGGAGCGGAGCTGCTGCTGCTCTGATTTCAGTGTCCCATTGACGTCACTGGGAGGTTTCAAACCAGCCCAGTATGTCAAGAGAACTTGCACAGAGATGAAACAATGAGAAACTGGGAGCAGGAATAACAACGAGGTTTCCCCCCCCCCCCCCGGGAAACCTTTCCTGGTTTGTTCTGGTTTCGCACCCTTTATCTGCTTGCTGTTTAAATAAATAACACTGCAGTTCTAATGAACCCTGAGGCTCATCGGTGACAAACTGAGCGACAGAAAGGATGAGAAAGGGGGGGCTGCAGGAGGAGACCTGCTGCTGTTACCTGCTGCATCCAGCCTCGTCTGCCCCAGACTGCTGTGCTGGTGGCAGTGGGTTTGCCGGGTGCTGCACACACCAGCTGCAGCCCCGAGAGCTCTGTGATGCTGTGGCTGTGGCCGGTACACCAGCTGAAATGGAGCGTGGCTCATTGGAGCACTGCCCTGCTGAGAGGTACCAGCACCTCCGCCCCGATGGCTGCTCTGTTCCTCCCAAGGTGACTGAATGGCTTTTTAACTGTCCTTCAGACTGTTTAGAATGTCATTTTACAGCACTTGCGCAAAATAAACATGCTATTAACGTTGTTATATTATGTGGAACAGTAGCATTTTGTGTTCTGTGTTATAAACTGCAGATCTTTCTTTTGTATGTGGTTGCCCCCAAAATGACAAAGCAAAGATAGCTCATTGTGAACCAGAGGGTGAGCAGTGCAAGGTTCAAGACAGCAGCTGGGTGCTGACATAAATCATAGAATCCCAGCCTGGTTTGTGTTGGAAGGGACCTTAAAGCTCACCCAGCTCCAACCCCTGCCACAGGCAGGGACCCCTTCCACTGGAGCAGCTTGCTCCAAGCCCCTGTGTCCAACCTGGCCTT